ATAGCTTGTGTGAATATAGAAAACACGTGCTGTTTTCTATATTCACACAAAACTATATAAAGGCTATCAATAAAGGCTATCAGCACGTGTTTTCTATATTCACACAAAACTATCCAAACAAATCATCTTGCTCTATAATAACCTAACACTTGATGAATATTTTGTCATTTTGAGACTGTCTTGTGAAATCTTGAACATTTGTGGGAGTTTTTATAAATATACATGTGTGTTTTTATGATATTAATTTTATTGGGTTCTTCTTCTGTCCATTATTTTGCCTATTGTAAATTTTTCCACATTCAGTTTTGTTTATGTGTGTGTGTATGTTTGGAATTTTCTTTGATAATATTGCATTTTAACCTTTACAGTCTTTAATTTGAGGGTTTTTTTCTCTTTAATGGCCTAATAATTACTTGGTATCTTCTATTATTAAAGGACTTTTGTTATCTCTATGTGATTATCTTGCCTATTTTTCCCCTATTGTTAATACTCATGCCATAGAGAAACTTAAACACTGTTTGGATCTCTATGAGTAAATCTGTCTTTAACCCTTCATTTACAGCTTGTGTAAATCTGCATACCACTCCATGCACACAAATTGCTTGCATCATATGATGTCAACCATAGTTGAAGGGTTAAACATCCTGTTATTTTGTAATCTGTTTAAACATCCTGTTATTTTGTAATCTGTTTAAACATCCTGTTATTTTGTAATCTGTTTAAACATCCTGTTATTTTGTAATCTGTTTAAACATCCTGTGATCATGTAATCTGCTTGAACATCCTGTGATCTTGTAATCTGTTTAAACATCCTGTGACCCTCTGTGGTTGTAATCTGTTTAATCATCCTTTGATCTTCTGTGGCTGTAATCTGTTTAAACATCCTATGACACTGTGTTGCTGTAATCAGTCTTTAAATATATCTTTCTGGTATAGCTTGAATCTGTATATAACTGGGATCTGTTTAAAAAATATTTATCTTCTATGACTGTAATCTATGTTTAAACATCCTTTGATCATGTATAACTAAATCTGTATTTAAACATCATGTGACCTTGTATAGCTGGAATCCATGTTTAAAAAATCCTTTGACCATTTATAACAGAAATCCTTGTGTAAAGCATTATTTAATCCCCTTATATATCTGGAACCTGTATTTGGTCTTCAATAATATATTTTACATTACAAATAATTCTTTATTAGATATTCCTGAAAATCATTTTGTTTTGTTATAATAAACAGTGTGAATTCAGGTACAATCATATGTGGGCCTGCTTGAATTATTTCTTACATAGCTATACATAGTCAGAGCACATTGTTGTACACTATTCATTTGTTCATCAGTGATTACATCTTCCAAATAATATGCTTATTAAAGCATTATTCAGTAATTTACTTTCATTATTCTGAGATGTTTGATTTCCTTTTTTAAAAAGTTTTCAATAAAATTCTTTGTAGATGTCATTCACCAGATTATTACTTGAATGAGGCAAAGAAGCTGAAACATGAAGCTGACAAGGAGGTGAGTATAAGAGAATCTGTTACATGTTTATAGTGTTTAACTCGTTTATATACAAAAGTTAATTATTTTATTTCTGACAAAGAAGCATTTACTGTGTATCTAAAACTGGAGGATTTTGTTCTGGTGCTGTTTATTTTTTCATGTTAATTTTATGTAATGATTTTTCAGTATGAGCACTTGGTTTGATTATTTGATAATTACATATTTAACCACCTGTTGAAGTTAAACATTGAGTAGAATGTTTAATATTTGAAATGGAGTATGTAAGAACAGTAATCTTAGTAGATAGGCAACATTAAAATATGCTGTTGCCTGTATGAAAAATTTGGTTTTAATTCTTTGGACAGATTCCTTAATTTTTTTTTTTTGTTTTTCCACGTTTGACATTCAACCTGGGTCTACTTTTTTTTATACATTTGATCAGTAGTTTAACATTTTTTCCCCACTATCTTTCAAATGTTTCTTTATAGTTCTGATATTTTTATTTTGTTTTTAGTTTCACATATTGCTGATGTATTATGCTAGACCCTACAACAGTTGGTATGCTTTGATTGTCATAGTTTAGCTATCTCTGGTATTCTTTATACCAGTGATGTAAATGTTTACCAGTCTACAGTCAACAGTATGTTCTGGTTTTTCAGAGTTGTTACATCATATCTAGGATATCTGTTATTCTTTATACCAGTGATGTAAATGTTGACCAGTTTACAGCCAACTGTATGTTCTGGTTTTTCAGAGTTGTTACATGATATCTAGGATATCTGTTATTCTTTATA